CCACCTGCCCAGAGGGAAAAGGTGAGGATGCCTCACTGGGTGCAGGCCCCGGGGAGCAACAGACCCCGTATCCCTGCACCCCCACACGCAGTGAGGGACCAAGAGCAGGGCAAGTGCAGACCCCAAAAGAGCAGGGACCCTCGGGGCAGGCAGCACCAGCCGTGCTGAGTGCGGTTCTCCCAGCACTGAAGGAACTGCACTGGCCGGGCCCACATGGTGCTACGGGAGCCCGGCGCCCTCTCCACACTTGGGACCTGTAGGGGCACAGGATGCCCGCTCTCTGGATCAGCTCCTTGGCTGCCCTCTGTGACCACATGTAAAAGCCTATTTTGGGGGTAAGGGGGAAAGAGCAACCAAAGGACTTTTATGCAAGCATGTAGGCCTAACCAATGGACACGGACAACGGGGGGGTGAGGGCATGAGGGGGGAGGTAGGGTGTAACGTGGGGATAAGGACACATATGTAATATCTTAATCAATAAAAAATATATTAAAAAAAATTTCCCAATCCCTTTGTTCCCAGTTGGTCCTGGTCCATTGACACCCACCCCTCCCCGACCCCACTGATCTGAGATCTGAGTCCAGTTATGGAGGCTCCTGTGAATTGTACATATTTCCTACCTCTTGGGAGTGTGGGGAAGCACCCTCTGTGGCAAGGGGCTGCTCTTGCAGAAACTCTAGCTCAGTTGGTTAGAGCATAGTCCCCGCTATGCCAAGGTTGTGGGTTTGGTTGCCGGTCAGGGCACATCCAAGAATCAAGTGGAGCAACAAATCAATGTTTCTCTCTCTCTCAAATCAATAAAAAAAAAAAAAAATAAACCCCAATACTGCAAGCAGAATACCTCTAGGTAATTATCATACCTATAGCAGGAGCTGTTAGCTGAAGGCCAAAAGAGAGAGGAAGCATTTCACTGTTACAGGTAGTCAGTTTATTTTTTGGTGGAAAGTGATGGCTTTCTGAACCACATGACTTCTGAAGTTATAGGGCAATTAATCTAGTAGTCAGAGGAATGTTATTACTACATTTAATGTTATCCTTCAACCTAGTTGAGTTTTACTTGATAGGCCCTTGTCTGTATAATTGTTTAAACTGACTTGTAGGCCATATACTAAAATAGTAATTGTCAAATTTTTAATAAAATTTCCAGAGCCCTCAGTGTGCCATGCAAGTGTTTGACCTAGCCCTTAAATCCAAGGTGAAGCATAACTTTTCAGAATTAATGTATTCTATGCAGCTATTTCAAGACTATCATACATCACTATTTGTGTAGAGAAATGATACTGGCAATTAAAATACCATATAGAAAGAGAGCAAAAAATATAGCGTCTTTGCTCTTTCCACAAAAAAAGGTGGCCTCAGAAGAAAGGGCCTTATTGTTCTAGTCATGGTATCTAATTGTTCACAGTTGAAGAGACTGAAGTACCAAAAGGCAAATACCACTGCTTACACCCTCTCCTCCCCTGCAGTCTGCTGGCCCCTGGAGTAGCACATGTGCCTCGACTAATCTGAAAATGGGCAGTGTGTGTGAAGTACACTTGAATGATAAAAAGAGAGTAAATGATGTCCTTAATACTTTCTGATACTGAGTACATACTGAAATGATAATATGTTAGATACAATGGGTTAAATAAAATACACTATCAAAATTAATTTAACCTGTTTTTCCTTTTTAATGTGGCTACTAGACGTAGTTTATACTTTATTTCTGTTGAGCACTACTGGTCTGGCATTTGGGTTTTTAACTCTTAGTCCCCTATTTTTCCCACTATGGTCATCACCTATTTCTTTCTTAGCTTTTGAAAAAAACATACTTTAATGTTATCTAGAATACATCTAAATCCTTAGCTAAATTCCTAAAAAAGGGCAAAATTTGAATTTTGAATCATAGACTATGGTGTCCAAGAAGTTTTGACTATGAACCATTCAGTAAAACAATTATTTAGTGAATATCTGATTTTGAGAATTTTTTAAAAATTTTTCACCTGAAGATACATTTTCGTTGATTTTTTTAGAGGGAAAGAAAGGTGGGGGGCAGAGAGAAGTGGGAGAGAAGAGAGAGAAATATTGATGTGAGAGAGAAACATTAATCTGTTGCCTCCCATAAGCGCCCCACCAGTGACTGAACCTGAAACCTAGGTATGTGCCCAGACTGGGAATCAAACTCCCAACCTTTTGGTGTGTGGGACAACGCTCCAACCAACTGAGCCACCAGGAGGTAGTTGCTATGACAAAATTCTGCCCTGGCCAGAACAGAATTTTTGTATTTTTAAAAAATCTGAAAAATGGTGGCAGAGTAGGAGGATGCAGCATGGACATGCTCCCAGGAACAAGCTGGAATTACAACTGAAATACGGAAAGGCTTCTGGAATAATCAACGGAAAACTCGCAGGAGAAAACCCTAATTCCCAAGGACCGAAGGTGGAGACCACATAGAGACTGGTAGGAGGAGTGGAGGTGTGAAAGGGCTGGCCGGGCACCCACAGACAGCAACTGAAGTCCCAGAGAGATATTTCAGCTGTGGGGGGGAGCCACTGAGAACTCGGGAATCTAATCCCGAAGATGGGCTTCCCCAGCAGAGAGCACCAAACTGAGGAGGGTACTCATATAACAACTGGCTGTGAAAAGCAGTGGGGTGCTGTCTGCCAGGGAGTGGCAGCTGGAAGTTTGGGCACCCTCTTAAAGGGCCAATGCACCTTGTGCTCTGGCAGAGGGAGGATGAAATGGACTGGAACTGTGAGAGCAGAACCCAGGCCTGGGGACTCAGGGGATAGAGCTCAGAAGGCAGACACCCCAAGTTTCCTGGGCTGAGTCATTCTCTCACAGAGCGGAGGACATCTTTCCTACATACACATCTGCCTCGCACACCCTATTGTAAAACACCTTGCCCTGAGGCCACTTAAGAGTTTAAAAGTAACAGTTAGCCTCCAGGCAGAAGCAACTGCCCCACCCTGTTGGAAAAAAACTCTCAGCACACCTGAGGATGATTGCCTGGGGGCAATTCAAGCCAGAATCCTATTAGTCTGTAGACAGAGGCGGTCTCTGGAGGCTTTGCAGGCTTTCCAGGCTTTGCAGGCTTTGCATCTTTGCCTGATCCAATTAGACAGAAACAGCTTTTAACACTGTCCTGTGCTAGAGATTGAGAGGTGTAGAGGACCTACCTAATACATAGTCACAAACCCAGATAACCAAAATGAGAAACAAAGAAACAATCCCCAAATGAAAGAGCTAGCGAATTCTCCAGAAGAAGAGATAAGAAATTATCTGAAATAGAGTTCAAAGTAATGATGTTAAAAATATTCAACAGGCCCTGACCAGTTTGGCTTAGTGGATGGAGCGTTGGCCTACAGACTGAAGGGTCCCAGGTTCGATTCCGGTCAAGGGCATGTACCTTGGTTGCGGGCACATCCCCAGTTGGGGGCATGCAGGAGGCAGCTGAATCTATGTTTCTGACTCTCTGTCCCTCTCCCTTCCTCTCTGTGGAAAATCAATAAAATATATTTTTAAAAAAATACTCAACAGTGTGAAAAAAGATATAGTAACTATGAAAAAAGAACAGTCTGACATAAAGAATGACATAACACAAATAAAGAAACATTGAAAAGAATACACAGTAGATTAGGGGAAGGTGAGGATCAAATCAGTGAATTAGAAGACAGGTGAAAATATCACTCAGAGAACCAAAAAGAAAAAACAATTAAAAAAAAGGGGGAAAGGTTAAGGG